CTCTCAAATCTTCACAAGACCAAAGGACGTTTACTGGTTCAATTTCAATAGTTTCCGGGCATCCTGGTCGTCCTTGACGTTTAAGCTCTATTATTTTTTAATCTAGTTCATTACATCAATCTAGTTCTGAAGACATAATTTTAGAAATTATTCATTAGGTGAGTCTCTACTCTAGGTCATTAAATTTGTGGTGTGTTAACTAATCCACCGTCAGGAACATCGTGCCCGAATGACACCATAAGCCTCTTATAGGGACAAGAAAGAGAAGCACTACTAGTGTCCCAAAATCAAGATTATCATACTGAGTCACAACTTATAGGAGGAATTCTCAATTTCTTAAAATATAATATCATATCATAAAAAAAGGTAAGTAATCCACAATTCCTCACATATAAAATCTCACCCTCTCACAGCACATCAGGAGGAACTACCTTCTCCATTTACATATGGCCTCAATGTAATAATTAGAAAGTTTACATGCAATTTTAGTCTCAAAACTACATGAAGTATTATTAAGACAACTCTCATGAAAACAATATAACACACAAACATAAGTGTAAATTAACCATGAGACATATCTCATAAAAATTCAATTCAAACATAAACTTCGATAATGATATGCACCTACAAGGAAGTCATGTCATGGTCATCAACACATATGACTCTTAATTTGTAATAATTTATGAGAAACCACCAACCTGAATATCGGTTACATGTGAGAGGATATATATAAGGATAGCGGGACTTCATGCTAGCCTCGGCCACCCATGTTACATCCACAACTAGATGGTTTCCCCATAGGACTTTTACGGAGGAAACCTCTTGATTCCTCAATCTCTTTACTTGATGATATAAGATCTCAACCGAAACCTCTTCATATGAAAGGTTCTTATTCACCCCTAAATATTATAATGGGAGAATAGACACCGGTTCACCGATACATTTCTTGAGCATAGAAACATGATACATTGAGTGAACAAGGCCAAATCATTTGATAATTCCAACTTATAAACAACTTTTCTAACTCACTTCACAATTTGAAAGGTCCCACATAGCACAAACTATGTTTCCCCTTCTTACCAAACCTGATCACCCCTTTTATGTGTGAAATATTGAAGTAGACCTAATGACCTAATTTGAATTCAAGATTTGTTTTTCTATTGTCGGCATATGTCTTTTCCCAAATATAGGCTATCATTTGAACTTTTCACGTGGCCTCACAGACTATCTCGGAACTAAAAAGTGCAAATTCACCAACCTCGAGCCACCCAACCAAAGACCTTAACCTCTTACCATAAAGTGCTTCAAATTTTTGCATATAAATACTCGAATGGTAGCTATTGTTGTAGGAGAATTCTATCAAATGCAGCTTCTCATTATAATTACCTTTGAAGTCAATGACACACGCTCTAAACATATCTTCTTGGATTTTGATGGTGTGTTCCTCTTGAACATTCGTTTAGGGGTGAAACGGAGTACAAAGTTTCACTTGAGTGCCAAGCCCACTTCTGAAAGACCTCGAAAAATGAGAAGTGCATTGGGCACGTCAATAGAAAATGATCGACGAAGAGTCCCCATGCAACCCTACAATCTCACTAATGTCCAATCTAGCATACTCTTTTATCGAATATGAGACTTTGATGGGAAGAAAGTGTGCCAATTTTGTCAACCTATCAACAATAACTCATATGGAGTCATGTTGCCTACGGGTGCAAGAAAAACATATCACGAAGTCCATTTCGACATCTTCTCCCTTTTAAGTAGTGATATCAATATCTTGAGTTAGACCTCCTATTCCTTGATACTTAGCCTCGGCTTATTGGCAATTTGAGCATGTAGAAACAAAGTTTTCTATGTTCTTTTTTATCTTATTCCACCAATTAATCTCACGTAAGTCACGGTACATTTTTGTGGCCCCCGGATAGATAGAATATTCATACCCATAGGACTTCTTTAAGATTGTTTCCCTTAGGCCATCCACATCTGATACACATAACCTTCCTTGATGCCTTAGATCACCATGTTATCCTTGAGATAGAGTTTAATAGATTTGGTGAGAAAAAATCCTTTTAAATTCCATCAAGATATGGTTCAGATGTTGTTTAGACTTAACACCAATAACGGATGACAGGAAATCATGATAGATCATGAAACCCCCTTTCGATTAATCTTCTCGTCGGATATCAATCGGGATAGACTATGTTCATCACGGGCTAAATACCTTTTCTATTCTTAAGTATGTGATGCAATATACATAGATACACAATCAAGGCATACGTAACCACATTGTATTTCCCCAGGAGGGGGAGGGTGGCTTATAGGACACTCACATAGTAATTTTTTAAAACCTCTAACCAATTGGCACACATTAATTTTTTTTTTATTGAACACATATTGGCGACTCTAGTGATAGGTGAACACATCACCATGTAACCCATAAGGATAGTGTCTCCAAATAATTAAAGCAAATACTACAACTGCTAGTTCAAGGTTATGAGTTCGGTAGTTATTCTCATGAACCTTTAGTTGTCTAGAGGCATATGCTGTAAACCTTACAATGTAGCATGAGGAAAAATTTTGTCCTATTCGAGAAGCATCACAATAAACTAGAAAACCTTAGGTACCCTACTATAAGGTTGACAGCTAAGCGGATGTGAGTTTATCTTCCAATAATTGGAAGCTCTTTTCACATGATTTTGACTTTTCAAACTTGGGACTTCTTTTGAGTCAAGTCCATAAATGGAGATGTGATAGATGAAAATCCCTTGATAAACCTCCTATAGTATCCAAATAAAACCAAAAAGTATCTGATTTCGGTAGGACTCAATGGTCTACGACAACATTTGACAACATCTGTCTTTATCAAATTAACCTCCACACCTTCACTAGTGACTAGGTGACTAAGAACGAAATCGAACTCAACTAATATTCACATTTACTATAATTGGTAAAGATAAGGTTGTCCTTAAGGAATTGCAAAACTATCCTTAAATGGTTCATATGATCATTTTCACCCTAAAAGTACACAAAGATGTCGTCAATGAAAACAATCACAAACATATCATTATAACTTCTATAAACTCTATACTTGACGTCCATGGAAACCATGGGGAATTTGTGAGGCAAATATGCATTAATTAAAATTCAAAATGATCAAATATAGTAGGGAAAACCGTCTTTGGAATATCAACGCACCTTACCTTAAGTTTCTGATAACCCGACCTCAAGTCAAAGTTTGAAAAGTAGCTTGCTCCTTGGAGTTGATCATAAAAATCATCAATCTTAGGGAGATATGCTTGGTTGAATAAAACCCTTATTTCGCAAATCCATGAGTTGAGTCTCTAATTCTTTATACATTGTTGGGCCATTCAGTACGGAGAGATTGGGATGGGTTTTGTATCCGACAATAAGTCAATACCGAAATCTATTTCCCTTTCGGGAGGAATTCCAAGTAGGTCATCGGTAATGACATACGCAAAATCCTTTACCTATGGGGACCAACTCTACTAGAGGATCTCGCACTCAAGTCCATGACTCTCAAAACATGATAGTGTCATCCCTTAGCAATCAATTTACAAAATTGAACACATGAAATTATTTCAATTTTTGGCGCTAAGTTTCCCATCTTCTATTCCTCAATGGGTTCTTTCGGAAATCAAAACATTACTACCCAAGTTCTATAATCAATTGAAGCGGAATAAGAATTTAACCAATCCATACAAAAATAACATCAAAATCCAACATGTCAAGTTCTACTATATCAACCAGTGTGAGTATATTAGGCAATGAAATGTGACAACCTCTATAATCTCTTTTAGCGTCTACGAAATCACAAACTATGGTAGAAACCAAATAGGGTTCACTTTATACATCGAGAAGCATATTGAATTTCGTAGCCAATAAATGTGTTACAACATACAATGTGCCACTTGGATCCATTAATGAAAAAAATTAATTGAAAAAACTTGGAACATACTGGTAACAATATTCGGAGAGCTTTCTTGATCACCTCGGGATTAGAGAGCATAGATGTGATTCTTCATAAGAGCATTAGTATTGGAAGCACTTGCTTGTGCTTGAGCATTTTTCCTTCCTTGAGCTTGCATCATATGGAAGGTGCTCTTCATGTGGCCACTTTACACAGAACTATAGAAATTTCCCATACCAACTAGACATTTATCTTCATGTTTTCTGCGACACTTAGCACAAACATGTTTCTCAACATAAGGATTACCACCTTTTCCCTCTTGAAATTTGATGGTAGCCTTTTTAAATTTTTTTACCCTTGGAATATTATGCGGTCCTTTGTTGGAAAAACTCCTCTTAAACCTTAGCTTATCTTTAACCTCAAATCTTGTCTTGTAAGAGTTCCCATCTTCGGCCTTTGTCCTATTCAATTCCCTACCAATTTACTTAAGCTTTGTCTCCTCAATTTGTTCATCATGAACCATGAGAGGAGATATGTCCATGCTAGGAATCCACACAGATTACCTACATTCATTAACCACAAGGTTGTTTATCCACATAACAAATTTGTTCATCTTAGCCTTAGAATATGCCACCATAGTAGAAGCATTTTTGGATATTTGACTGAACTTGAGGGTATACTCCTTCAAACTCATACTCTCTTGACGAAGATTGACGAATTCTTGCATTTTCCTCTCCCTTAATTCAAAGGGATAGAACCTATCAAGGACGCCATCCTGAAGGAAGCCAACTAATCGGACCTTCCCTAACGTGGCTCTCCTCCTTCTATTGTTCATAGAAAACTTGAGCCACATCTTTTAGTGGATAGGCGTCTAGTTCCTGCTTTTTATGAGAAGACACACCCATAGCCTCTACCACCTTAAAAAATTCATCAATGAACCATTGTGGTTCCTCCTCCTTTTTGGATCGAAAGAAAGTAAGCGGATTCATCTTCGTGAAATCCCTAATCCTAGAAGCGGTCATGCTAGAATTGCGGTTAAATTGTACTCTAGTATCCCTAGAAACTTGAGTGACTAACACTTGAGAGTAAAGATATTATTAGCCACCCTTATATCAACATTAGACATAACCCCTTCTTCAATAAGAGCTTGACAACTCTGAGGAACTTGAGGGGGAACCGCCTCATTCACATTCTCCTCTTCGTCCTTTCTAAAATTGTTCCTTCTCGTATTCATTGCCTATAACCACAAGAAAAGGTTTAGAAGAAAGGACTAGTTATAGTTAGGAATCATAGGCACGACAAATCAATGTCATAAGGTTAAAGTCCCTAACCATCTCATAGCCTCTCATACATAAGTGTGGCACACTTCACACCCATAAATACTACTTTAATTTTTATGTTATGACATCAATCCTACATTAATGTAAACCTTATGCTCTAATACAATGTTTGTAATCATGAGAACTACCTTTCAGTCATATAAAAAACCTAACATAACATAAATTCATACTTCATAGGTAATTCAAGAGTATAGGGTTAAGGATGAGGGAACCTTGTCATCAAAACCACAACAACACATTAACTACAACATCATTACTATCCAAGTAATTCATTTAACTTAATTGAGTAAAAAAAAGAACCAAAATCATATCTTCCTGCTAATTCATGGGACTTCATAATTCAATAAACAAAAATGCATAATCAATACAAAAACATGTTAATTCAAGAAGAAATTACATAATTAACTTCAGTATAGTCAAATATCACATTTCCATATCAATTCATTTTCATGAAATTTGGGAAGAATATGGGTCCATGGGTATCTTGAGTGAATAACAAAAATTAACCATCAATATGTAATTAAAAACATTAATTGACCATAATTTTATCACAATTGATTCTTAATTTCATTTTTCAAAGAAAATTCTTGTGTAGAGAAAATACCTAGCTTGGGGAAGCTTAGAAAAACTACGGAGGGACCTCTATGGGAAATAAATACCAAGTGTGAAAGAAAACATAACTTAACCATGACTTTAGCAACCAATATGAGTAGGAGATTTTGTATTTGATCTTCTTCTTCAACCTACAAGGATTCTTCAATGGCGGGTGAGTAGAGCGCGAATTTAGAGAGAAGTGGGAGTGATTTTGATTTCAATTTGGGTGGGTAAAATATTGTGAAAAACTTATTTTAAATAAATACATAACCCTATCCTAAAATACAGAAAATACTCCTTAGTTTATTTGACTTTTTCCTAAAGTCAAACTTGACTTCAAATTTTAGAATTTTCATCGGGACACAAGTCTGCATCACGGAGCTATTCCCACATGATGTACAAAATTTATTGTTGATATAATAGAGTCTGCGACGTGTCTGTGAGATGGAAATTTTTTTTTGGTCCTGGTTAACAAGGTCTACAATGCGGACTTGTTTATCCAATGTGTAATGGCCTGCTTCCTTAGACACCTTCTTGGCCAATAGTTGGGTCCAACTCAAGGAACCATAGGGTAATGGCCTATTTGTAATGTCCTACTGCCTTAGGAGCTTACTGGCCAGTAGTTGCGTCGACCTCAAGAACCCCTTGGGTGGTCTTTGGGGGTTGGACCTTGATTTTTTTACCACATATACATTAATTTACCTATTTTTAAAGTATTTTTACAAGCTTTAGACTTAATATGACACTTCCAAACCTTCATAAGACCTAAGGATTTTTACTAGTTAAATTTCACTAGTTTCTGGACGTCATGGTTTTTTGAAGTTTAGGACCTTATAGTTTAAATCAGTTTACATCAGTCTAGGTCTAGAAATATCATTTTAGAAAGTATTCAATAGGTGAGGATCTAGTCTATCTTATTCAATTGACTGGGTGCTACATTGAGGACTCATTAAGCTAGGGAATAGTCAACCAAAACATTACATGAAAGAAGTAGTGTGTCTCAACGACCGAAACCTACACTCATAGTATGTAGAAGATATGGATTAGCACAATTAATATACTAAGTATTGAAGTCATGCACAAAATCGTTAAAAACATGCTTTAAAGGGACATTTAGTTGATATGATACATTTATCAAGTTACAAAGCCATTATGAAAATATATGAAGAAATATAAGTCAAACAAACATATAAGTGACCCAAGGACATACTATTGCATAACAATGGTAGGATCGCATATCCCTACAAAATAATACGAATCACATTTAGATCACCACTATCATACATATCTTGTTTTTACCCCATCAATAACAAATATACATAAGTCCGGAACGACTCATGGTTATAATGTGTAACAAGTGAGGTCAACCTTAGCATTCATATTTATCATACATACATAGTCCATAAGTCTTTACAACATAAGAGAACCTCACCATAACCCTTCTTAATGTCCACTAGTGCAATAGATGAGTAAAGTCCCATAACCCAACTAACAATAAGTTATTCCCCGTAAAGAGTCATAGCTAATGTCCATGTTCTTATCATAATTCATATTCTTATGATATACAGAAACATAGACTTAATCAACATAGACCATGTTCAGCACATGTAATCCGGTGTCTTACTCCAACACCGAAAAAGAGATGTCATACTTTCCTAAGCTATAACTAAAATATTAGCTGTGTAGATCAACTAGCTAAGACCTATGTGTTAAAATATTTATGGAATAAAGAGATTTTTACTAGAAACCCAAACTTTCAAACATAAAGGGTTTCCATCTCATGGGACACTTACATTGGGAAGCTCAACTAATAACGTAAAAACATTCATCTCATTTACATATCGAATGGATGTTAAAATTAATTCCCATTAGAAGTCATTTTATGTGTTTACTGTGTTCATATTCATCAAATAATGCAGTAGTAACTCTACAACATATAATCATAACAACCTATTCATTCATTGGGTGAGAATATCTTGTCAACCTTAGAATCAACAACATGTGAGTAAGCCTCTCACATCTTATCATAGTAAACTTTAAATTAACACAACATTCTTACCATAATCATAGTCATTTATACATAGTCATGTGTAAGGGTAGGGTATGAAGGATCTTACTACCAAAACAACCAATAAACAATAGTCATACGATCATTACCATATATGTGAATGATGTGTTCATATATAATGCTCGTCAACATTTACAAACCCTACCAAATAGCCTTTGAAGGATAAAAATAAAGATAAACCCTAAATTCTAAGATTACCACATTACGTAGAGAAATATAATGATTATATAACATAATTTATGTATACATACTCTAGTTCATACTTTTAGAAAAACAGGAAATCATGTGTCCAAGGGAGGTTTTTACCAAAATCCACTAGTACTAAAATAATACGACCATAAATAATAATATTAATCATATTATACCATAATTAAACAATTTGAATTTTTTTCGATGAAGACCCATGTTAAAGATTGAAAACCCCTAAGTTTGAGGAATTTAGATTCTTCAATACTAGGAGTTGTTTGGGTGATAGCTTCCCAAAGATAACTAGAATCCACACATTGAATCGAATTCCACAAGAAATTAAGGAAAAAATACTGATTCTTGGATCTCTATATTAACCTTGACCTTTCTCTTTAATGGACCCTAGAGAGTGAAATATATTTAAAAGGAGCGTTGGTTGAGCTTTGAGTTTGTAAATTCCTTGTTGTTAAAAAGTTGGTTAATAGTTAAAAGTAATTAAATCAGTCTGAAAAACCTATTCATAATTGTTCCCACTAATTAATTTGATTTGAATTTTCTAAAGTACCCCTCCATTGGACGACACATAGAGGACCTTTAGGGGTGACCTACAACCGATGACCTAAGCACAATATATGGGGTGATACCCCGTCTTAATCTCAGTGGTTTGAATCTTTAACTTGGGAAGAGTAGGGGAAACTGGCAAGATTAAGTTGCTTTCCATGACCCCCACCTATAGGCCGTGGGTCCACCCACGGTTCGTGGGTTCCCATTCGTGGGCTATGTTTTCTTTTGACAGCGTTTTGAGCCTTCACTTGGGTCCTCCTAAAAGACCCTTCAGGGATCCTAGGGGATCATGCCTTGAAATGTCGGTCCTAAACCGTTAGTACTAAGTAAGGGATGTCATTTTAGGACATTATTCTGTACATTAACATCTATCAGGATACAAACTCTCTGTTAGGCTCTAGGTTGGGTCAATAGATTTCAAGTGTGTTACATTGTCTCCCCATTGGGAACATTCGTCCCTAAAAGATGATCTAAATACTAAAATAACTTAGAAACAGTAGAATAGAAGCCCATTATTCATGGTACATAAAAATGTTAAAAACATAAAAATGCACTATTCACCTCATGCAAATTTCAAAAAAAACCTCAACTTCATTTCATGAAATGATCAACGCCCAATACAAGAGAGTAGGAACTACATCTACAAAGTCAATATGCATGAAATGCAATATTTCTATTATTCGTAGGAGCAACTACCTTCTCGGATGAAATAAAAGCTCCACACAACAATATGGAGCGAACATGCGATTCCATCAAAAACACAACTAAGTATGCTCATCAATTCAGCTAATATATTAAAATTTACAATCATCATACTAAAACGAAAATCAACATGAGGATCACATAAATCATGAATATTAAATTTATTCTAGACATGAATTCTCACAAGAACATGCACAACAAAGGAAATTATTACAAACTCATACAATACATATGAGTCTCAAAACACTAAAAACTCAAGATAAACTACTTACCTCAAGCTTGAATTGGAGTAGAAGGAAAAAGATGGGGATTGTGGGACTTCATATTGGCCTCGGCCTCCAATCTTGCACAAAAAGATGGGGATTATGGGACTTCATATTGGCCTCGGCCTCCAATCTTGCACCCTCTACTAAGTTATTCAACCATAAAACCTTAAAAGAAGCTACTTATTTATTTCTCAAGTAGTTAACTTGCCGGTCTAAAATTTGTATCAGAACCTCTTTATAAGAAAGATTCATATCATCTCCTAAACCCTCTAAAGGAATGATGGGTACCGGATCACCAATACACTTTTTAAGCATGGAAACATGAAACACCGGGTGAACCAGAGAAAACTCATTTGACAAGTCTATTTCATACGCAATTTTGTTAACACGTTTTAAGATTTGATATGGGCCCACATACCAGGGACTAAGATTACCGTCTTACCAAATCTCATTACACCTTTTATAATTGAGATTTTCAAGTAGACCCAATCACTAATACAAAATTCTAGATCCCTTT